TAGAAAAAGAACAAATACAATGGGACAAGCCAAAAAGAAACACTAGACAAATACACCGCACAGAACCCAGAGGGAGTCCTATTGTACTTAATTGCCATAAATAGGTTCCTCACAAGACATTTGTACTGTGTTACACTTTGGCATTCACACATAAATGCAAGGAAATTATTCTAGCTGTATTTGTCCTTTCCCATTCTCATTGATACTTATGGTTCATATCTTCTTATTCTGTCAGAAATTACATAACAGGCTTGTCTTTTGATGCATTTTGACTTTTGAGGTGCTTGTACTATAATTTATTCATTGCTTTTAAAATAAATTGCAGTGCTGTCTTTTACCTATGGAAACAGATTGCTTTTATCATTTCATGATGTCCATAACTTGGACTGTATGTCAATGCAGACTATATTTTACAGCTTTAGCAATGATAAAGCCCAGTGTTGATGACGAGCATGCCGTGATGATTGAAGAAAATACAGAAATAGATGCAAGAAGAGCTCGGTTTCCCTGCTGCATTGTTTGGACACCACTTCCTGTCCTGTCTTGGTTTATCCCTCTCATTGGTCACATTGGGATCTGCAGGGAGGATGGAGTAATCTTGGATTTCGCCGGGCCAAATTTTGTCTGTGTGGACAATTTTGCATTTGGAGCACCGGCACGCTACATGCAGATAAGGAAGAATGAGGTATATGTTCTAATGATTACACATGACTTACAACTTCAGGATTTTATCAAGATAATGGCCTTAGATAGGAACGCCTGGGGATCTAGGATTGTAGTAGTAGGGTAGACCTGTGAGTCTTAGTTTGTAGTTCTTGTTGTGGGATTTTACTAGGCCTGTTGTTCTTGTTGTTTATGGATCTAATTACTGGTTTTCCAATTATGCAACTCAGTGTCGTGTTTCTCGCTACCCGGCTCCTTATGAAAGAGAAAACAGCTGCGAAATTGGGAGTGACATGGCTACATGGGATGGTGCATTGCATAAGAGCACAGAAGAGTTCCAACACCTGTCTTATAACCTTCTCACGTGCAACTGCCACTCATTTGTGGCCAATGCTTTAAACAGGTTGGGTTTCCAAGGCGGAGGCTGGAATGTCGTTAGTGTGGCTGTTTTTCTCGCGCTCAACGGACAATGGGTGAGAAAAACGTCTATCTTCCGAGCATATTTGCCGGTTCTTGTAGTGTCTGGTTTAGCATTGGCCTTTGGGGGATGGTCTTTTTTAACCATCTGGGGAATCTTCATTGCTATTCTTGTTGGCTGGTTTCTTGTGGGTTCTTACTGTTTCAAGAAGATGATCTATGTCTCGTAATTTTTCTTGCCACTTCTCTCCCTATTCAGTCTGCATCTAAAACTTGTTTTCGTAGTTCAATTTTTTTTGGAGGACTTTTTAAGTGATTTGGCAAGCTCAATTGATTTAGGACCATGCTACAGTAACAACTTTCAGAATAGGAAATTAGGAACCCTTTTGGGGTCCTTTTGGGCGTGTTGTGTAATGTTTATGAAGAGAAAATGATGGTGTGCATGATTGTCTTTGATTGTGTCAACGTTCGTGTTATCCATGAAAAATCTTATAAGACGAACTATCTTTGTGGGATGTCTGTTTGAGTATTTGTCCAGTTTGATGAAGTATTTTGTAGTTAAATTAAATAAAATTTGATCACCAGTCAAACAGATGTTAAATTATATGGAGTATATAAATAAAATAGATTAATTTTTTTCCCAGAAATTCCTTCCCACTTATTATTCAAATTTTTTGATTACTTTTGTTTGTTTGTGTATTTTTTTAATTATTTGATAAAATAAAATATTTTATCACATTGTTTTATACTCTAGTAGAACTTTCTATACCAATTTATAAATAAAATTATTTTATAAGAGATGAAATGTGTTATGTTGTTCAAAATGAAGCGATATTTTTTGGATGGGGTTGTACAAGATAAATCTAATTTAAATTTGGAGTATTTTCATATCAAAATGTAAGGAGTTATACAACTCTTATATAATTGATAATCAAAATGTTTTCTATTTTACTGTAAAAAATGAAATTAGACAAACACACTGAGCTTTTTTGTTCGTCCTAAAAAATGTTGCATTCCTTTTAAAAGAAAGAACGTGTTTTTTAACACATTTCTTAAAATACATAAATATCAAAGTGTGATATTCCGCAATTTTTATGGGATGAATGGGGGACATCATATTCTACTCCATTTAAACAAATCTCAAATACAAAATTTTCAATTTTGTTCTCTTCATCAAACAAAATTTTTACTTTTTTTTCATTCATCGCAATTATTTTCTCATTTTCATTTTTTTAAAGAAAGAAATATTAAAATAGGAGTAAAATATTAAAAGAGAACTAAAATAAGAAGTTCATGTTTTTATGCCAAAATATGACTTGTAATGTCAATAACATAAACATAAAGTACCAAAAAAACACTAAAAATTCCAACATTAGCACACTAATTCTATGTTTTGCTTCTATCCTGAATAGTTTCTTTTTTAATGAATATTCGGTCGAAGATATTTTTCTTTTAAACAAATTCTAAATACTTACTTTTTTATCATTTAACACCCTTTCAATAATTTTTCTTAATCTTCATGAAATCAAACTGAAAAAATTAATTTGAGTGTTATGGATAGTAGAGTAAGATATTTATTTATATTTTATTATTATTATTATTATTATTATTATTATTATTGTAATCTAAGTTTTATTAGGTCAGCGAAATTATAAGTTTTTTTGAGATTATTTTACGGTTCTTTTTCTCTTGTCGCTTTTAATGACCGTTAAGTTAGCGTTGGAGTTTCTTTCTTCTCTGTATAAGGAGATGTAACCCACCCCCTTTAGAGATAATCAACCAATAAATCAAAACCCTAAAACTCCCTCCGCCACAGCGTCTCTCTTCTCACCTCCATTTCGTCGGCCGCCAAAGCCTGCGTGATTTCTTCTGCTTCTCCTCCCCAGTTTTTGGAGCTTGAAGACGCTTTGAGTCTTCCTTATCCGATACGAGTCTGTATCATTGAGACTAATTAAATATTGACATTGAACTAAATTATGGCACCAATTAAATGAGTACATAATTCAATCGCTTTAATGCTTGACAGAATATATTTATTCTGAAAGAATTGAATTCTGGCTGCACTACACTTCAAAGGTGCCAACTTGTAAATTTTAAAACAGAAAGTCCTCTTAGAAAGCTAAAGTGGGACAGTGAATCCTGGGAAAAATCGAAACTCATGCTCGTATTGTCGTTACGTTCAAACGTTAACGAAAAAAATAAATCAAAAAATAAATATTCACTTCAATTTCACAGAGATGAGATATTGAAATGATGTTAAATAGGAACTGGTTACAATTTGTTTAGAAAAAAGAAAGTATCTTGAATCACGGTCTTGAACTTTTAAAAAACGTTGCATCAATGGCCTTCTTGCATCAGATTTGGGAGCGCATTAATCAGATGCTCGTCAATAACTATTCCTAAGAATGGTAAATAATTAAGTGGAAGAAGAATATATAATAATAATAATAATAATCCAATTCAATAAAATGTGCTCCAGCTTGCAACATATATAAAAGTTGTGTACAGCTTAACTTCTTGATATGATGTACCAAAAGCATCAACCCATATTTATATTATATATATATATATATATACACACACACACACACACATATATATATAGCTGCCGGAGGATTATATAAAACTCAGAAGTTTCTCTTAGAAACTTAGAAATCATCACAAACAAATTTTTAAAAAATGGCAAGAGAGGGAAAAGTCATCAGCTGCCACACCGTTACGGCGTGGAACGAAGAACTCTGCAAGGGAATGCATGAGAAAAAACTGGTAATTTTTCCTCCTAATAATCTTTTTTTGCCCTTTTTTTAAAGAAAAAAACTATACATTAAAGCCTAGATTCTAAAAATAATAAAATATGGTGGGTTGCAGATGGTGGTGGACTTCACAGCAACATGGTGCAGTCCATGTCGAACGATGGGTCCCGTCTTCTCCGAGCTGGCTAGAACCACCCCCGACGTCATCTTCCTCAAGGTTGACGTGGATGAATTGCACGTAAGGTTTCTTTCAAGTTTGAACTTTTGACCGAAAATCTGTGTCTTCAGAGTCTTTGTTGACCCATATAAATCCGAAGTTCGAATTGCACTGTCAGTTGACCTTGCACTGTCAGTTGACTTTTTGGTCAAGTTCGTTCTTTGATAGTAAAAAAAATAAAAAAAATAAACCACCTTTTATTTACTACCTCAATAAAATAAATTTGCCTTGTTTATGCATGCAGACAGTGGCAAGTGATTGGGGCATAGAGGGAATGCCAACATTTATGTTCCTAAAAGAAGGGAAGATTTTGGGCAGTTTAGTTGGAGCCAAGAAAGATGAGTTGCAGAAACTTCTTGCCAAGCACACCTTTAAAAATGCTTCTTTTTCCAAGTTCATGAATAATGCTCATTATTATTACTATTATTCTTAGATCATATACTAAATACCCACCCTTTGGAGTATTTGTGTTGTTTACCATTCTTGCTGATGTAACTGATGTTTAGTTTGATTGCCTCTTAATAGAGGCTTTTGATTAATAAAACTCTCCCTTCTATGTATAATGCATCACAAATGGACATTAGATTCATATAAAAAGCATTAATTTTCTCACATAACTAAGTTCATAAAAAAATTAATATAATCCTGTTGGCCATGTGTGCATCAATTCATTCAATTGTCCCGTGGCAGAAACTATGTAGGCCAAGTCACAATCGAATGTCGTGGGCACTTGTGTGGTGAATGCACTATAAGGCTAGGATATACGCTTCTTCTAACACCAATTGGTTTTAGAAGAGTTGGTAGCGCCTGAGGTCCTAACAAATCCGACCATATTTTTTACTTTTCAACATTTTTCTGAAACTGTGAACTCAATCGTGGGAACGGAAGAGTAGGAAAAGATTAATAATCTGCAGCAACACAGCTACACAAGAAGCAATTGTAAACTTGATATTATGAGGATCAAAGGGGAGAAACAAATGCATATTTCCATTTCAACGAACTGCACAAATGAACGAAAACCCGAAAACAGAGCAAATGGGAACCATGTAAGTCATAGTTTACAATCTATCACTGTGATGACTCAATGCAACTCATCTCCAGTTTAAAACGGATATGAACCGGTCAACGCAATCGGAACTCAATTCTGGATACCATAAAAGAATTTATATATGGACTCACCTCGAAGGCCCCCTTTGGCACCTCCAAATTAAACACTAACCTACCTTTCACACACACCCTTAAAGCAATCAATAATAATAATAATAATAATAGCTTGCTAATTATTCTTCTTTTTCTACAATGGCCCCTGTCATTCAGTGTTTAATTCTGTCACTCGTGGCTATTTTACCCCTTACCGTCAATGCCATTGGGATGGGGCGCAGGTTGCTTCTACCGACAACCGCTTCACTATATTTGGGCATGGATCTCCAAAGTTAGTATTTGATATTGCTACCGAACATCTTCTTTGTCCAATACACCTCTGCAACATTTTAGACACATTACAATAAGAGTGACATTATTAAGAGTCCATTTGGTCAGCTTTAGTTGTTCCTTATTGAGAGCCCATTTGGTTGGCTTTAGTTGTTACTTATTAAAAGACCATTTGGTTCTGAGCCTTAACAAACGGGCTCTATGGTGGTCGACAATTAATTATTTAATTACATACCTTTTGTAAGACGGAGTAAGAGCTAAGGGCATGGCACGGTCCTTGCTGGAAACTCCCACATGTACCCAATGGAGTTCCAAAGCTGGCAAACTTTATGGAGGAAATGGATTGACCCGGACCACAATGAAGGTGGAGTTTCGGTTTGGGTGGGTCCTTGGGCCCACCATAGCTTTGGATCTCCCAATTCTTGATGCTCGGATGAATTTCAGCAACATCAGCACACACAGTTGACACTGATCTCTTCACGAGAGAGATTCTTGTCGGGTCTCCCCCAAGTTCTTCAAAAACAACCAGCAGATTTTCTGCTGGTTTCAACCATGACCTGGGCACATGGTACCTGGAACCAAAGATCATATATTTTCATGATTCTCAAACAAACAAACAAACAAAAAGATAATGCTTTGTTTGGATAAAGAGAATTTCTTGTTGAATCTTACCATCTTTGAGTTGGTTGACCGCAACCAAGTTGGCACTTTTGAGGCTTGAAGGGTCCCGCGTAAGAGCATCCGTTGCAATTCCCATTCGCATAAGCGGTCCAATACCTACCGAGACTCTGACCATTAATCCATATTTGACCTTTTCCCATGCTGCTCATGTCCAAAGCTAAAGGTTCGTTTCCATTGGGTGCATAAAAATTAGCCTGCAAGATAATATTGATCTGCTCTCTTAAAACAAAGTCTCCATTGATAATAACTTCTCCGTTTTATATAATGCATTCATACCTTATGCCATGTCAAGGGCTGCTGTTTCTGTGCGATCAGCGAACCCTGCATCCAGTCAACTGGTGATATACCATTGGTATACATGAGATTCGTGTACTCTCCCTTAAGTCCCACCTGTTACAAAGATCACAAGAATAATAAGGGTCCGTTTGGAACCCAGAAACTACTTGGAACATTGGATATGCAAAGATTAAAACCTGATAGGTCCATTTTGCCCATGTCAAGTCCCATTTTCCCTGATCAAGTCCATGAAGTGCAACGGGACCTAGAATTCCTGTGTTCCATGTCTCAAAATGCCCTCCAACATTCTTCAAAAACATATAGAAATGAAAAACACGTGTTATGATACATTTATAAAACACCATTAACACTAAACCAAGCATTTAATGTGATAGAATGAGAAATTGGACAAACCGGCAGGCCAACAGCCACGCTGAGCAATGAGATTTTATTGGTTCCAGCTTGGAGGTTGACCTTTCCTCTGAATGTGAATCTCCTGTTCTGCCTGGTACCAAATGCAGAACCTGCATAAAATAAATGATTCTTCGTCGATGATTATTAGTTTCAAGCACAAATTTGCATGATCAAACAAAGCCTCCTTCATATCAATGTACCTGACAACTGTCCATTGATAAACACATGTAGAGCATGACCAGTTGACTGAACGATTAACGTTGGGAGCTGCCCACGGTGTAGGAAGGACTCAGATGAACCTATTTCAACACTTCAATCACAACAAAAATGCATTCCATCACTATATCAATTATATAGAGTTTGGCCAATAGGCTTAAAGATGCTTTCCTATATGAGTAGAACACAAGCCACACACACCCCATACATGAGAAGGAATGAAATTTTCCATGCAAATTTTTATAAATTACTCCCTCCATTCTAAAATTACTCTATTGCTCTTCATTGAAAAATAAATGTTCTTTGTCCCTATATAAACTTCAGTTTATAGTTTACGGTTTATGATGTTGGACTGAAATTGTTTTTTATCCAGTTTATTTGAACAACGGTGTACAATTAAAACATAAAATTTATATATTTAAAAACTACATCAAAAGTTCTAACAAGAGGTGACATGATTTTTTTATTTTAAAATGACTAAGTTGCCCTCAAATATTTATTGATCTTTTGCTTGTTACATTTAATACTTACAAATCATTAGGTGTATGTTTGTCATTTTGTGGCCACATTATTTATCGTTTTCCCGATCCAACCTTATGTATGCGAAACAAAGAATGAGAAATATAACTGATGGCAGGTTCAATGTTAATCATTAGTTACCTAGTTTGATACCACAAATAATCACTTGTGTCCCTGGTTACATTGACTTGTTCCAAGAGGCCAAAGGATGTAAATGATGAGCTTCCACCCAGTGCAGATATATCTTCATTGTAAGTTTCCCATGCATACATCTCAGCATTAATTGGCAGCATTTCCATTTGTGATGTCTGAACTCCAACCTGCAAATTGAATTGGCAGATAACTATTAGAAACTCCCGTGAGGTGCTAGTGTGGTTACTAAAGTAACAAGAAGATGTTGGGGAACCCATTAAGTGTCATGGGGTAGGGGGAATCATTACTCGTAATGGGGTTTGTTTGGATTGCAGACAATTATAGGGAAAGCAATATGAAGCAAAACATAGAGGCAGAGTAAAAGGAAAGAAAATATCATTCTTTATTACTCCCTCCGTTCCCATAAACACTTCCTATATTGACTTTGGGCAAAAATAAAGAAGGGTTATTTCGAATTGACTTTCTAATGTTGCCCTTAATGTGATGGGTAAAAGTAAGATGTGATGGGTAGATTATTAGTGAAAAAGTATGATGCAATAAGTAGGGTAAAAAAAGTACGGGTAAAGTAGTTTTTTAATAGAAAGTGGAAGTGTTTTGGGGTAAGACAAAAAAAATTAAAGAGGAAGTGTTTTAAGAAACAAAGTGAGTATATTTGTTCTTTTCCTAGCATTTGACGTGATCCAAACATACCCCTAAAGCGGGAGGATAATGGAAGTGCTACTAAAAAAGGAAAAAGAAATGAAAACTAGAAGAAAGATTGCATACTTTTGCTGTGTTGAAGACTACATTCCTGCAGTCTGGAAGGATGCTGATGGACCAAGGAGGCAAATTATAGTGCATGTTATTAAACATCACTCTTGCAGGAGATTTTGTATCATAGTTTGAGAGAAAAGCTGCACACTCTCCAGTCCCAGAAGAGTACTCATATGCCTAAAATAATTAAAGCCAAACCATCAGTGCAGATCAGGAGAAAAAAGCAGAGCAGCAAACAAAGAATGGGAATGAGAAGACAAGACCTGTTGAAGGCCTCCCAAGGAAGTCATGGTAGGATCTGTTGAAACTATAGCCCTCTCGCATAGCTTAACAGCCCTATGAAGTTCCTTCAAATGATCATATTTTGGTTGTCTGATCAAACCTGCACCATTGGAAAGATGTGACAAATGCAGCATTATTAGCCCATAACTGCAACTAATTAAGGTTGTCAATTTCATGCGAGTCATGAACCCTGGTTGGCAAGTGCACTGTAGTTGTTAGCTGTTTGGGTAGTTGTTACACAATACATCAAATTTAAGCTTTCGTAAACCAAGCTTGAAAAACAACTACTCTAAAAGCTCTAAGCATCTTGAAAAACAAACTTTTTGTAACAAACTTTTGGGGAAAAAAACTCCCTCAAAAACTCTTCACCAAACACCTGGCCGCCAAACACCCCATAAGCAAGGATCAGCTAATGGGATGTAATATTTAGAAGATACTTGCAAATACACTAATATAACAATCCTCCTAAACACAACCTATAGACACAATCTATAGAGTACTAAAAAGGGGTTTACCCAATGACGAAGATCCCACACAAATTTTGTGTGAGGGGAAGGGCATTAAGCAAGCCAGCTAGGAGGGCTTCATTTTCAACTTATGACCCTAATTTTTCACAAAATCATATCGGCTTATAATGAATAATAGTGCAAATATAATTTTTTTGGCTAAAATGGTAGACAGGTACTTCTACAGTTCTACATCATTTTAATATATTTTGTTTACTTTAATTTACTAAAAGAATATATTTTGGAGTAATGCTTTTATACAATCAAGCAGGTTCAGCTTTCCTTTAAAAAAAATCAAGCAGAGTCAGCTAATGCGGCCATAATTTCAACATATTCTACCAAGAAACCTTATTGAAGCTTACAAAACAGAATCTTGGACATTAATGAACAAATGATGAGAGCAAAGTAGTCCATTCATACCATACTCATCAATAGGAGCATCATAGTCGTAGCTAGTACTAATAAAAGGGCCTCCAGCAGTGCGCCCGAAATTGGTACCTCCATGGTACTGATAAATCATCATGAGAAGGAGAGTGACTCAGTTGAGTTGGTTTCATCATAAAAAGAAATTCAAAAACATTGAAATGCATTCTGTGTAAATCCACATAAACTGACCATGTAGTAGTTGACAAATGAACCACCCTTTTGTATGAATTTAGCTACTGCAAAAGCCAAATCTTGAACTGGTCTTTGATAAATGGGGCCACCAAATTCCGTAAACCTTTTGACATTAATTAAAATTGTTAAATATTGCCCAACTTTTTATATCATGAATTCAGTATAGTTTAGGAATCTGATGATACGTGAAAGATTGGGATATTTTCTTTAAAATACAGAGAAAAAAAAGTATCTTTTCGGGCTCAAATTGGTCCAACCCATATCCTGCCTAAATTCAAAATATTCTTACCCAAACCTGCCCAAAGCTATTGTGCTCCTTTGGGTCCCAAAATTACAAAACCCAATCAGTGGGGCATTTTAGGTCAACAGAAAACTCGCATGATTCGACACGTAATCCATCTCTGACTTAGAGCATGTTCTCTTCTACTTATTCATATTACGTATTCTTACTATTCTTATTACTTACGATGTATTCTTATTGAAATTAGATAAGAAAATAAACAATTTTAAATATAAATTGAATCAAAACAGAACAAACCAGATCAAAGCTTGATAAAATTAGATCAGATTCAATTAAATCAGACAAAGAGAACAGACCCTTAGGGTTTGATTGGATGTCAAAAATGCTGAGGAAAATAATATAGAATTAATATTTCCAGAAAAAGTGTTGAAGGTTATTATCTTCATGTTTGATTTTACTTGGTAAACTGTAAAGGAAAACAAAATATACTCGTCCTTCTAAATCTCATTATTAAAAAATGAGTTTATAATTTTAAATTAATCCTTCAAATGAGTTTGTCACTCATTCATGTCAATAATGGTAACACCCTATCTCTACAATATTTTACACAATTTATCCTATTTTTTTTATTAAATATGAAAATTGGACAACAAATTTTGGTCAAACAAAAAGAAAAAAGTGAATACTTAACTTCGGACCGGAAGAGTAATTATGAATTAATACAGTTAAAACATTTGACATATGTTTAAATGTCTTAATTGTTTTACCCGCAGTAAAATGCTTCTCCAGCCTAATTTTTTCTTTACATTTGACTTAAATGTGGCACTTGATTATTAATATATATATTTATAGATCAATAAATATTTTAAAAATATGATATTTCAAAATGGATCTAATGATATTTTGTGTACCTCTTATGTTCAAAGTTTACAAGTGTTGACCAAAAAGTCAACTAGAAAGAAAATTTTTGGACTGAAAGAGTAATATGAGTTGAATATACCTAGAAATTAAAATAACTGAGTTTAAAGCTCTTCTTTTATTTTCCCTCAAATTTACTTTCTTTCCAATTTACCATCATTTTTTTCTTTGCCTTTTGTTTTCCCGGTACGAAACAGAAACTGAGTAAAGGAGAGACAAGATTGCATACCAACCACTCCAGGCCTCGGTCCAAATTTCTGGCTTATAAGGTTGGTTGGGAGTGAACTTATCACAGTAGAAACCATTGCATGTGTTTATCTAGAAAGACAAGACAGAATGAGAACTTATCCTAAGATGTCTTTGAAATGGATTGAATGAAAGAAATTATGATCTTTGGGTCCAACAATGGAGGGTAGCTTACCACAGGATCAGGGGCATCTTCTTCTTTGCACATAACCCAAGGGACACCAGTGCCTGTTTCAACTGCCATTTTTGCAGCCCAATTCACATAATTATAGCCTGAGGCCCCTAGCATCTTTGCTTGGGGTCCATACTCATTCTCAATCTGTAACAACACATTATCATCATCTGATCAGGTAACTAAAACAGTGAAATTTATAAAATTGATGCAATGTTTTTGAGTTGGGGTCTCTTGGAAACGGCCTCTTTAAACACTCATCCTCATTGTGGGATTCTAGTGGGTTTGTTGTTGTTGTTCTTGCATAAAGCTGATGCATTGCTCAAGGAAAACTCTCTCCGTTTCACAATAACTATCGCTTTGGTTGAATTTTTGATAGCTTTGCAGAGTCTAATAGAGCATTTAATCCTACATTCTGTAAGCTACAAAGATATTTTGATAAGAACATGAATTTGGAGGTATACCTGGGAGAGTATAATCGGGCCACCTTGGGACTCAAACAGATTATGGCTCTTCATCAAATTAACAATTTTCTCAGTGAACCCTTTCATCGCCATCTGCCATGTCACATCAGAAGCAAATTTTCATGAAAAAAAAAGAGGAAAAAGGATGGACTAGAACAGCAGTAAATGTGTTGTTCCTGAAGTAGATAAGCAAGAGAGGGTGGGAAGTTAGAAGACCTTGAAGGGCTCATTGTCTGATCTGAAGCTAATTCCAGGAACAAACTTGAGCCAAACTGGGAAGCCTCTGCACACAAAGCATTCAAGCAGCAAAAAAACAGAAATAATCAGTACCCAATGCAAGAAGAAGCTCAAAACTTAACATTTGGCAGAGAATAAAAAAAATGCAGAATTACACCAAGCTAAAGTTCCAGATCTTAGATATGAGGAGCAAATGAGAAGAGAAATACCCAAAATTCCACTCTCCACAAATGTAAGGACCTATGCGAAGATGAGCATAAAGCCCAGCTCTCTGGATTGTCTTCACAAACCTCACCAAATCATATCTCCCTTCAAAGTTGTACTGAAACCCACAGATAATTTAGAAAAAGAGAGAGACCCTCAAGATGAAAAAAAACGAAAATTGAAAAAGTGGTACTGCAAAAGATAAAGAAAAGTGTACATTTCCAGGAGAAGGCTCGTGCCCATTCCAAAACACATAGGTCTCAATCACATCCAACCCTCCTTCTTTAGCCTTGTGTATTAGATCTTCCCACATCTGCACCGACACATCATTATACAGATCAATAGACTTTAGCAACATTTCTTTATTTTTTTTCTCCTTCATCTTCTTTGAGGTGATAAAAATGAGAGAGTGTGACAAATAGTACCTCCGGAGTGCTTCTAGGGTGGTGAATAGAACCGGAGAAAAGCAGTCTCCTTTCTCCATTGATAACAATGGCCTTCCTGTCATAGGTGACAGTGCAGCGAGTCGACCCAGAACTCAGCAGGAACACCACTAGCAGCAGCAGCAGGCCCCATTTCCCCATTCCAGCTCCTCTCCTGTGAGCTAAAGCTCCCTGATTTCTCAAATGGAGGAGGGGAAATTGAAGCTGCAGAGACCCCGAGATGTGAGGTTGCAGAAAGGTTGAAACTTGCAGAGTGGGAGGTAAAACTTTACACTAGGGTCTTGGTCTGGGTCTGGGTGGGGAAAAACCCGGGAGGAGAAGGCGAGAAATGGGTTTCCGTGTCAGTTCTTATTTATACTCCGTATATACGTACAGTGTACAGACGACACACGGAGCACCATACTCCGCCCATCAAAATTCTGGTGTTCCCAATTCATTATAATTGCCTTATAATTTAAAAATAAAAATTTATATATTTAAAATATGAGAACAATGTCAATATATAGTATCAAAAAATAAATTTAGATGTCACAGTATAAACTCTTATTTTGGAAACAAAAATATAGAATTTTTATTTTGAGAATAAGTGTTATGTTTTACTTCTATTTGAGATGATTTCTTTAAAATTTGACATAGTAATAGCAAATTAGAAGATAATTTTAGAACGGGGGAGTATAAAAATAAAATTGTTTGGATTTTTGTGTTAGATTTTTGTCTAGTATTTGATTATCGCACATCGAAAAATGAAGTAAAAAAGTTAAACTAGTAATAGATTGAATTCAATTTTTTAATATGAGCAAGCTCATGTGTCTTATGGCATAGTATAGTAATCCTTACCACATCATATTATGTTATCGGAGTCAGGTTTGGGGCAACCTAGTTTGTCAATGTGTCCGTATAAGCATTCATTTTAGCTTTGCAAGTGGAACCCTAAAAAAACTTTGAATGAGCTTATAATTTCGCTCACCTATTAATAAATAAAAATGATGATGATGAATATTACAATTATATTAACCGCTAAATATATAGCTAATATAAATACTCAACTCTACCATCCATAACAAGTTTTTAAATCTGTTGTCTGTATTAAAAAGGCTTATGGCTCATTTAACTTGATTGTTTATCTAAAAGCTCATACCTAGCAACTCGTAGTCATATAGGTGTTGTCGCTGCATTCTCACATATACGTGGGCATATAAATTTACAAACTCTTTAGGTGAACGGTGCTAACAACCGATTGGATTCAATCTTTTAATATGGTCTAGCTCAAATATCTTATGACCACTTTAGTAACAATTGTCACATCCTAAAATCTATCATCATGTTTAACTTTTAAAAGTAAAGTTAAATTTACATGATCAATAATTAGATAAAATTATTACCTTCATTTGAGGGTGTTTCTTCATAATGACAATGTTGAGTACACAAACTTTGATAATAATTAAATAAAAATTGCATTACATGTTTTTATAGAATGATTGAATTAGATTTATCTTGAAAAATATTTTCAAAGTATCATTTTATTTTATTAATATACAATATAATAAAGAGTGTATTGTATGCTAATATTATGGCACAATTTTCTTTAATGATAAATCCAATGAAATTAGTTTGTACGGACACAAACTTAGTGAATAGTACTAATTGTTGTGATTGTACTTGGTGGAGACGTGGAGTCATCATGTATATATATGTGTACCATTTTCTACAATGTCATTGTCATTATTCAACTACACAAACAAAAGTTTTTCAAAAAGTCTTTCCATCATTTTTAATGTTGCTCTCTCTCCAAAGTTCTTTTTTGCAAAAAAAAAGAAAGAAAAAATGAGCCTAATTTCCGATGACCCCTCAAACTCGACCAGATGATATAAATAAATAGATATCCGATTTTTCTATTTGTAACAAATACATATTACTCCCACCGTTTCTCAAAACAGTTCCTCTTTTGACTTTGGGGAAAAATAAGAAAATGTTAAATTGTAGTTGACTTTCCAACTTTGCCCTTGATGTGATGGGTAAAAGTAAAATGTGATAGTTTAGTTGTTAGTGAAAAAGTATGATGTGATAAGTAGGGTATGAAAAAGTATGGGTAAAAGTGGCTTTTTAATAGAAAAAGGAAGTGTTTTAAGAAAAACAAAAAAAATGAAAGAGGAAGGGTTTTAAGAAACGGAGGGAGTATATCTTTAAAATTTATAATAAAATTGCACTTCATGCCAGAATTATAATAATCTGGTCGAAGATTTGTTGATTTGGCACTTGACTTGGCGTTCATTCTTCCTACGTAGCATTCCACGTGTACTCCTCCCTCCATTGGCATCATTTTCTAGGGTTTCTGTTTTCTTCTTTCATACGGAGTAATTTTTTGATTTTTTCAACTTTTCTTTCTTTTTAGTATTTTACTTTTATTTTTCTTACATTTATTTCATTACTCCTTTCATCATGTTTACTCACATTCTCCTAAATAAATTTTGTTTTATTATACCAATATGCAATACACATATATTAATTATAGAAATAAAGTCCTGTATTATTCTTGTGTCTTCTCACCGTGTTGATTGAGCCGGCACCTAATATCGGCAGAAGAGCGGAAGAACGAAAGAGAAAGAAACCAAGAGAGGGAGAGATGAGAGACTGAAATACCGTCGGGCTTAGATTAGATTTTATGCATTTTGAGTTTTGAGTGGTGGTCTAATGGGTACGGAGTATATCATATTTTATATGAATACATAAAGCCAAGTAACTAATAAAAGTAAACAATTAAGTGCGGCATAACCCGACCCGTTCCGACCTGACCCAAAAATTTAACGAGCATTCGGGTTTGCTTCATTTCGCTTTCGGGTCACAAAACCAATGTTCAAAACCGCTAAGAACTTTATAAGATTTACTTTGTTAAGAACGTAACTTTCAGATTTTTGTTGTATTATACTAATTAATACGCAATAAAAATTGATTGTAATTAAAGATTAAAATTTATCTAGTTTGATTCAAAAAAATGGTCCCAGACAAATACACTGAAACGAAATTAGTAATTTAATAAATGCTCGGCTGGACCATCATCATCTTCTTCTTTCAATTCTTCTTCTTATATGTATGGGGATGAGACTAGAGGCACATGCCTACACAGTTGTATATGTATGTATATATGGAATGGCATGTAAATAAATTATACTCCTCCGTCCCATGAAACCTTTCTCCTTTCTTTTTTTATCCGTCCCACAAAACAATTCTCATTTCTATTAAAAAGTCACTTTTACCCCTTACTTTTTCATACTCTATCTATCACATCATACCTTTTACTAATAATCTATCCATCAAATCATACTTTACTCATTCCATCAAAGGATATTTTTGGAAATTCAATACCAAAATACACTCCCCTTAAGTTCCTCCGCAAAAGTCCACCGAGGAGGGAGATCGAGTAGTATGTGTGTGTGTATGCCACATGTACCTCTGAATGCCTGCATGTGACTGGGGACACTTTCCACCGCATGACGCCTCAATTAATGCCACCAAATCAAACAATTATACCAACCGGCAACAACTATTCGGAGTAAATACTCTCTCCCTTTCAATTTATTTCTCCACTTTAACTTTTTCAAGTTAACCTCGATAAATTTTAATAATTAAATACTTTTAATTTATGTTACATATCAATACAATAAAATTAAATTTTAATAGTTCTCAAAAACATAAATTTATTGAAATAATTTTTATAATATAAAATACTCCACATTACTATTTTTATTCAACTGAAGCCTAAAATTTATTTAGTTTAACTTGAAAAAAGTTAAAATGGACTTATATACGGTTTATACCACGATAATACATAAATTACTTAAATAACACTAAAACATAATGACTTTCTCTAAATAGCACCACATATTTTTTTCCAATGTAGCACTTTTAGTCATTATTCATTAGTCTTCAAGTAAATTTTTGCCATCATTGGACATTATGGATATCATTAATTCTTATTTAGGAAATAAAACAATTTAAGTACTATTTAGGGAAATGACTTAAATTTTAATGCTATTTACGGCAAATATTTCTTTATACAACCTTCCCTCTCTGACTCCTATATACGCACTAACGCACCTAGCTCGCCTCCAACACTAATTAGAGGGTGTTTGAGAGTAATTAACTTGTGGATAAAGTGATTTTCACAAAAGCTGAAAGCAAAAGCACCTAATACCTGCTTCTCCGAAATGGTGTTTTATGTACAAAATAATAGTGGTGAAAAGCAGAAGTTGACATACCAAACAGAATAAAATCACTTTCACTCAAAGCAGAAGCTAAATTATTAAAAGCATCACACTGTCAAACACCCTCTTAATCTTCCCTCTCGAAAATACTTCCTCCGTTCTCAAAAACACTTCCTCTTCCATTTTTTTTCACTTCCAACAAAACATTTCCACTTTCTATTAAAAAACCACTTTTACCCTTACTTTTTCATACTCTACCTATCACATCATACTTTATCTCTAATAATCTATCCATCACATCTTACTTTTATCTATCTTATTAAGGACAAAATTGGAAGTCAAGTACAATTTAATACTCTCTCTGTCCCACTGTCTTTGTCCACTTACCTTTTGGCACACCATCCAATGCACTTCTTTAATCCATTTTATCTTGTAATTTGTATATTAAACAATTATAGAAATTATATATTAATAATCTATATGTTAAGACAAATCAAATAAGATCACACATGACTATATTTAGGCTTACACATTGAGAGAATTTGATGAGTCAAAGTGCTTAGATGAACAGTTCCAAAAGTCAAAAGTAGACAAAGACAGTGGGACGGAGGTAGTACTTCCTTATTTTTACACAAAGTCAAAAGATGAACACTTTTTCCAAAGGGAGGGAGTAGTTTCTTATTTTGTGTTACTACCTAGCTACCTCCATTTTTGAGGGTTTGTCCAATTTTTTTATTGTCAAAATTGATAAATTTGATTATAAATTAAAATAGATTGATATTAGATGCTGATAAAAAAAATTATTAAAATCATCTTATAAGATATTTCTAAAATATTATTCAAATAAATATATCATATTATTTTTTTAATTATAAGTTAAGGATTGATCCTGATTGATCTTGAACAAGCAAAATTGAACAAATCCTCTGGACGGATGGAATTTAATTTTTGTCCATATTTTTCTCTACATAATGACGGATTTGAGTCACCATGAGCATCTCGATCAAAAGATCTTGTAAAGTAATCTTGAGAGAAGAAACACAAGTGTATATATAATTACTCAAATAAAGAGTAATTCACAAATTCTTTTTTTATGTATTCAATTTTTTAACTTGTGTCGAACAAACCTTAAATCTCTA